CTTGAAAAGTCTAACCAACTTGATCCCCTCCAATCTGGTTTCCGTCCCGGCTACTCCACACAATCCGCCTTAATCAAAATTACCAATGATGTTCAGACTGCAATAGATAATAAACAACTAACTGTCCTTATACTTCTTGACTTCTCTAAAGCCTTCGATTCCATTAACCATCCCATCCTTTTCAACAAACTAAAATCACTCTCCTTTTCCAATAGCTCCATCTCTTGGTTCCAATCTTTTCTATCACAACGCACCCAAGCAGTCTCCATTCCTAATCAAGCCTAACTATAACTATCTGCCTACCTGCCTTTATCCTCTGGAGTTGCCCAAGGATCTAGCATATCTCCTCTCCTTTTTAGTTCCTATATTAATGACCTCCATGACTCAATTCTCCATTGTTCCCACCACCTTTATGCAGACGATTCTCAAATATACCTATCCTTTTCTCCCCCTGAGCTATTGGTAGCATTTACTAAGATCCAAGCAGACCTAGATCGAATCTGTGCCTGGGCAGACTTAAACGGATTAAGGTTAAATGATTCAAAAACTCAGGCCATTACGGACACTCATTGGTTCCAAGCCCCTCCTTAGATCCTATACGGACTTTCCCATACTAAACCTTGGTGACCAGCCAATCTCCTTCTACTCCTCTGTAAAAAAATTAGGACTATTTATTGATCAAACCCTCTCCTGGATTCACCATATTTCTCACATCTCCCGACGGACAGTTTCTACCCTCAAACTATTCCATTGCTTCCGCCATCTCCTACCTCAACATACGCGTAGACTCCTCGTTTCCTCTCTCATCTTCCCCCACTTTGACTACTGCTGTGTGGTGTATGATGGACTCTCGGTGGAGCTCCGCGACAGACTGAAAAGAATAATGAACAGTTGCGTGAGATTTGTAATTGGTGCCCCGAGATACTACCATGTCTCCCACCACTACACTGAGTTAGAGTGGCTCTTCCCCTCCATTCGAAGACAATATTTCCTAGGTATATTCCTCTATCATATCATCAACAATCATCGTCCTTCCTACGCCTACAACCTTCTCCAATTCAAGTCCTCAGTCCACTCTCTCTCCACAAGATCTCGACCTTCCGACCTTTACATTCCTTCTCACAGATCTGCCTCGTTCCAAAACTCCTTTATTGCACGTTCTGTTAGTTTCTGGAATTCCCTTCCTATCAAAATTCGACATTCTTCATCCTTATCTACATTCAAAACCCTTCTATTCCAATTCCTGTCCCAAAAACAGTCAGGCACCAGCTAACCTTTTATGTAAAATTACATATTATCTATAAGACCATATTCACATATAGCTCATAACCGAAATACTTATTATAGATTCGACTTTCTTTTTTCTTTTTTTTTTTTTTTTTCAACAGAAACAGATTTTACTGTTAAGAAGAATTTTATTTTTTTCATTTATTTTTTCAGTTTTTTATTTTTTCTAAAAGGGTTTATTTATATTTTAACATTGTACATAGTTTTAAGTATCTTAGTATGGTTTCAAGAGTTTTTTATATAGATTTTTTTATTTTATTTTGTATATAGTATGTATAACCAATATTTTTTCATTTTTTTTTTTTAATGACCTATCTCTATCTTAATTTGATATGTTTGTTTTTATCTGGCCAGATGTAAAATTTTAATTTCTGTACTTTTTTGTTATTCTGAAGGGACTTCTTCCCAGAATAAAATTATTTTTCTATTCTATTCTATTCTATGTTGCGCTCTCACTCAAACTCCACTTGCTTTAGCACCAGTGGCGCGGCTGGAATAGTAGCGCAGGGATCTATTGGGGTCCAGCTTTCTTTCTATAATTGGAGGGGGAAGCCTGGCTTGGGGTTCCCTGCTTAATTGTATATATTGTATATAGGTATGACTGTGTTTTTATGTTTTTTAATTTACTTATCTTTAGGTTATTTAATTTTTTTATTGTACATAGTTTTTGATTATTATTTTACGTTTGTTAATTTTATATTTTCTGTATATATGGTGTGAATGTGTTAATCACTATAATTATTGTCCATTTGACAGATTATTATATTTCTAAATAAATAAATTAAAAAAAAAAGAAATGTTAGGAATGCAGCGACTACAAAAAATCCAAGTTTCCGCCCTAGATAGGCTTGTGGGTTCACTGAAGAGCTCCAAAAACCTTTGAAATTTCGAACTTATTTTGATTAACGCTAAATATCACCTTTTTAGAACAATATAGTTTAAGAAATGGTTATAGTCAATCTTAAACGGCTTAAAATAATCTTACATTTTTTTCTAAATCCAACATGAAGCGTACAATCAAGCTTTCAAATTGGGTAAAGTTTAGAAAAAAAAATGACAATAAAATTATTGTATCAATATTTATTCAATAATACTATCAAATATTAATACAATCATTATAGCACTATAACTATGCCATTGATGGTTACTTAATGATGTGGCAGATGACTCTAGACGCCGATTAAGTGTATTTTTTAAGTAACTGCTTCAAATATTTTAAAAAGTAATCAGTATTTTAGAAAGAGAAATGTATTCTCGTTATGGCGTTATCAAGAGAAATGGCGTTTTTCGTTATTGTTGGCCGTTTATTTACAAAATACTCTTATTTTTCAACTTTAGTTTGAACGACTTGAAAAATTTTACTTTACAGGTGTTTTTATTTCCAAGGCCAATTATTTTAATATTTATCAATGTCTTATTATTTTCTAACTATCTAGCTTTAATAAAAGAATAATTATGGCGAACTTAAGCCAAATACTGAAGATTCAGACTGAAAGACTGAAAGAAGTGGTAGAAAATGATGACTTGCCTACAAGGGGGTGAACTAAATTTATAGTATTTAAATTTTTGAAAGAAGTAAGGTGTTTCATTTTGATTGTGGGATGAAACTATCCAGTTTTTTTTATTAATTATTAATTTGTTTACTGTAACCATTTAAGTCTTGTTTATATTTTTCTACTAGGTGTATCAAATTCATTACATATGTATGCGTGTATGTGTGTGTGGGTGTGAGAAAGAGAGTATCTCATACATATTCTTTATTAGTTAGTTGATATAAAAAAAATATAAAAAACAAATTATAATAATAATTTATTAGCCTTAACCGTTACAGCATGCATTCCTTTGTACATTGGTCGTCAACAAAAATCTTTCTTCTTCTTCTAAATTTTAGATTATATAAAAAAAAAATACAATAAAGTTAACAAAACAAGTATAAAAGAATACATAATTTTAACATTATATTTATACAACACATTTCTCCTTTACATTAGTACATCTAATTATATTTCAATATATTTTGAGTGAATATCATAGTACAATTAAACAATTAAATGTTTTTCATTCCTACTTATTGAAAAACATAATAATAATGATTCCCATGACAAAGTATCGAGGTATTTTTTCATCTTTTATTGCGTTGAATTAAGAAAAATAAATTTATTATTTATTTATTTTTATCACAAAATACTCAATTCAGGTATAATATTTGAATACAAGATATAATCTTTATACGAAAAAAAAAAATCATACAATTTTTTTTTTTGTATTAATGAGCAAGCATAAAATAAAATAGATATATTAACACATTTAAGAAAATAATATGCATTAAAATAACCTCTCATAGACACGACGGACGGTAAAATAGAAGTTATGATGATTTTAAAATAGAGGTACTTTCGGTATCTAATTTGATTTCTTTATTTTAAAGAACTAGGTTAATTTGATTTACATCGCATAGACTTTCCTGTTTTCATTCCACAATAAAACTATCATAGTTTATCATAGCCATCATAATGGCATTGATTAAATTTAATTATTTGTTTTATGTTTCTATTTTCAGTTCTAAAATGAAAAGTAAAAACTAAGAACTCAAAAGATTATAGAAAAATAACTTTAATGCTGTTGCTTCAGCAATTGGATATAATTTATACACTTTCCATGAATTAATGTACTTGTATAATTTCAATATTTAAGTCTAAATTGTTTTAAAGAGCTCAAGGTTTTGTAGTTAATTAGAATTTTTTTTAATAATATAAAAATTATAATTATTTGATATTTTTCTTCAAACATTCAAATCGATTTGAGAATATCTAATAGTACTGAGAAAAATATACATAAAAAAGTATACATTTTTGACATTTAAAAAAATATATATGTTTTTTTTTTTAGGTATATTAAAATTTTTTATAAAAAAAAAAAATGGAAGAATATTGGTTCATTTTCATTATTTCATTGAACCTTCTAAAATAATCTGCATTTATAAAGTGAAAACAAACTGATAATTAGGGTTTAAAAAATAAAAAATTATATTTGTTACTATGAAAAGCATTGCATGTAATTATGCAAGTAATTATGCATTTTTCTCAAATTATAAAGATTATCCGATATGCTTTTGATGTGTATACCTCGGACAATCTTTTGACAATGATTCTTTATAAGACATAATCTATGATTTATCAGTGATAAAACTTATAGTCAGATTGGTAATATAAACTCAACTAATAATGTTGAGATAAAAAAAATAAAGTTTCAAATCAAATGCTTTATAATGAATTTTAGTACGAATGACCACTTTTAATGGTACAATACACCCAAAACATATATACCTATATTATATATGCATTAACAATTATTAGAACTTCAGTCTGTCAAGCCCAAATTTTTATAAAACTTTGTTAAATTATATTTGCCCCCGCATTAACTTCCTTTAATTTTAATGCAGATCGCTGATAAAACAAAATCAAATAAAAAAATTAAAGATTAACAATTTTTTTAAGAATCTGAGCTCCGATTAACCTTAGGCTTCATCGGTTATGAAAAAAAGGCTCATGCATCGGTAATTTCATAATGTTCTTTAAACTTGACTTATGGATATGGGTATAGTAAAAAATATCACTGATAACGATCAACACTGAAGGACAGACACTGAAAATTAAAAACAAACACTATATTTTATTTTTTGAACAGATGTAGACAGTAAAGTGTTATCACCGTTAGTGATGGCGGTTCTTGATTTTAGAACCTTTCCGCAAGGTCCTTCCCCTGGTGCGATGGACAGTGCGTGATGCAAGATCTTTGTCGTGACCCTTCCTCTTCCCTGTATGCTTTACTTTCTTCTTTCGTCCTTTTCGTATAGCCTTTTTCTCATCTTCTCCCGACTTCTTCCTACCTCGACGTTTCTTGGATCCTTTTTTCTTCGCCACTAGTTGATGGAACCCGCCGTTCTTTTCATGCTCTCCTCCTTCATGGTGCTCGTCGTAAAATTCGTGTTTTTTAACATACTCGTCTTTTTTATGTATCTTATGCTCACCTTTGGTATGATGCCCCTTATTGTGTTCTCCAGATTCACCGTACTTCGCCGCCTTCCTCCCTTTCTCAGCGTGCTGCAGAATGCCGAAATGGGCTCCTTTTTTTTCTTTCGTTCCTTTCACCCCTTTAGCGTCACTGTATTTACCTTTGTGGGATTCCTTGTCGTGAACGCCCTTCTGTCCTTTGGCAAATTTGTGATATCCTTTGTATCCTTTTTTACCTTTGTTACCTTGAGTGATGTCGTGTTCCACATTGTGTTCGTGACCACCACCTTTAGTAAACTTCTCTTCCGTCGGTTCACTTTCTTCTTTTTCGTCATTTTCATCTTCACTGTTTTCAGGTTCACTATGGGCATTGCCATATTGGTCTGAGTAGGCGAAGAATCGGGGTTGGAGAAGCTCCTTGTCGCTACTGTCCGGTCTTTCTGTATTATCTTCCTCAGCCGGAGCCTCGGTCGTTGTACCTTCGTACGAACCCGAATCCGAAGCCGCACCCGAATATGAATAGACGACGGGATGATCTCCGTCTGCGAGAACCGATAATACGAAGGTGAGAACTATCAGGTAACGCATAGCGGACTAATCTCCCTCGCAGGCACCTCCCCTACTTATAGACGGTGACTCGTTGGTTCCAGCTAAGATACGCTTTCACGGAGATCTGCCATCGCTTCTCCTAGTCTAATCCAGTATCCATGAAATCACGTAATTTGTTATAAAACCATTTAATGCTCGATTCCTTATCCGCATAAGTAATAATTATTAATTATCCTTAAAATAATAATTTATCTAAGCAATACATTTACTAGGGCACTAGGGTGCAATTTACTAAATTCACTAGGACTGCACGACGTTTCCGCTTCCTTCGACACTTTCGAAACGTTCTAAACTTCCAATTAATTAAAAAGACTCATATACATGACTATTATAAGACCTATTTGAACTTATGGAGTTGAGCTATAGGGCTCCACAAACCATCAAATTCCTTTCGTATCCAATCCTTACAGTCCAAAATCCTTTGTAAAATCCTCAATGCTCCTTACTTTGTAACAAATAAAATAATTCATAAAAACCTTAATGTTCCATATATTTTCAATTTGGCCCAATCCAGATACGTTTAACTAATAACTGTTACAAATAAATAAACTTCATAACCATCCGAATCCTCTCGTTTCTACCCTTGCTTCATCTTCAATCTCTGATGACGCTCCAAAGCATCTGAAAAGAAGATGGTATCGTGATCTCCTTATGTAGACGTATTATTTGAGTGGTACCATTGGGTACTCATCAAGCTTTTTCTTATGATTATCATCAGTTGTAAATAATAAAATAATAATAATAATAATAATAATAAATAATAAATAATAAAAAAAAATCACTAGGAAAGAATAGTTTACCATAGGACTTGAAATGAAATTTTGCCTATAATTATTTTAAGTTTCAGTTTAAGACTCTGAAATTCATATTTAATTTTTTGTTTTTTGCAAATATTTAAGTGAATATTTATAACTTTTATTTCCCTTTTAACAAAATAACACGTGAATTAAAAAAAAATTAATACTGAATACTAAATATTATAATATTATTAACACGGGGATGGGTAAATTACAGGGAGAGGGTAGAAAATAAACGAGGATTAGGGGATACATATGACCCTAAGAAAATAAAGGGGGAGTACAGAATGACGGATAATCGCGTATTTTAGATATCAATGAGAAAAAGAAGAGTGAGGTTTTTCGGGCATTTGGTCAGGATGGACAGAAATAGATCGAGTAAGAAAAGTTTTGATAAAGTGCTAGGGCCCAAGAATATAAAGGGTTATCCGGAACAGATAAAAAACGAAATAGCAAACTGAATATAGATAGAAAGAAAGCTTTATTTCATAAAAGTGTTACATACTCTTTTTTTTTTTTTAAACAATACTTTTTTTATTGGCAATGGTATAGAACCGTCTACCTGGAGTTGCCCTAAAAATACATACAATGAAAATAATTAATAATAATAAAATAAATAAAAATAATAAACTTTGGAAATATTAAACAGTCTTTTGTTGCTTAAAACATATTAAAACTATCTGATACATATAATCTAAATAAACTTTAATTTTTCAAAAATAAGAAATGAGTAATTTCTGTTGCATAATCTTATACTTGGTTTTGCTTTTGTTTACATATAATTAAAGAATGTTATGTATTATATTCCTGAATTAAAAACATTCTATATTTATAAGCGTATATATGATACATGTATAAACTGCTCCAATCTTTGCCATTGAGTATATATATAAGTTCATTGCGGTTTATAATTTTTTTTCTTAAAATATTTGATTCTATATTCCTGTAAAATCGGACAAACAGCGACGTAGTGGTATCCTCTTTTACATTTAAATTATAAAGGCTACGAAATCTTTGTTTCTCAATCCTCATTACACTATTGTTTATAAACAATCATTAACAATTAGAACAATATCATTATCAAATAAATTAGATGTTCACAATGCTGCCATGTGATCAATAATTTGTTACGCTTGCCAAGTCTGGGGATATCGTAGTTTTGAAGAAGTCGAAAAACTGAATATATTTTTCATAAGGAAGCTGTTTTCCCTTCCTATTAATTCACCTGATTATATTTCATATTTAGAATTTAATTTTAAACCGATATTTTTTTTCACTTTATCTTTGCATTTGTAATATATTCAAATGGTACTCACTTTACCAGCATCAAGATTATCGAACATGTTGGCTAATGAAATAATAAAACAGAAAATATTTTGGCACAAAGAAAACACTGAGGTCTGTAATAGAATTAATATCCCACTATAATACACAAGTAATAAAATAATTCCCCATATTTTAACTAAATTAGAAAATAATTTTAAAGCGGATAAGATGGAAAAAGCTAGAATGTCTAAATTTCATGACCTTTATGAGGATTTAAACAACGACTTAGGTGAAAGGCATTACATATCAGATGTAAATAAAATGCATTTTATTAAAGTTATATTTAAATTGCGGGGGAAAAGTATTGTTTTCAAACTGAATATAACAAGCAAGGTTTGTATGGTTAGAATCAAATTCCGGAAACGCGCTGTCCCAATGAGGGTAATTGCAGCCGAAAATAGGAGTGCAGGAAAGGAGTAGTCGAAGGAGAGGAAGGGAGGGACATCAATCCGCGATGACGAAGGAAGTGTGGAGGAGGAGAAAAGAATCGACGAAAAGGAAAAAGACTAAGTGATATATTCATGGTTTATTGTTACCCTATAAAAAAAAATTATTAACAGAAGTAACTAGTTATAATATTGGTACCATGGAAAAATTCTTAAACAACTCCTACATATGAATCGATTCCAAGTGTAAAGAACTAAGAAGAAATAAATGATTGAAGCTTCATAAAAAATTTAATAATGAAACTTTTTTTGAATATTTAAAGGTTGACCGTTGCATTATAAAGAAAGGAGATGGTCCGGGGTGGCGGTCATAAATATGCTAAATAGTGGTAAAACTATTTCATTAAAAGCCAACGTTTTGACCCGAATTTGCATGTCTTCTTCATGTGTGTTCAGCTAGGGGTTTCAATTAGAACTGAAATAGAGTTCTAGATCTATTTAAACTTTTAAGGAAGAAGATGGTTCCTTAAAAGTTTAAATAGATCTTTGATGTTCCTATAGTCGATTAAAAATAATGATCACTCAATGAGTGATACGGTTTAACATAAATAATAATGAAAAATGGTGGTAAAAGAAATGATTTATCAGAAAATAAAAATCACCTTTTTCACACAACCTAAATTGAATATTAAAATGAATGTATACGTTATTAATGTATACAGTTTTTAATATTATATCGGAAGCCGCTTTAATATGCACGCGGTACCTCCACAATATATATGTATACATTTTTTTTTTGTAAGCCAAAATTTCTGGTAGACTTCGGAAATAAACACTTAGAACTGAGGGCTCAACATGAAACTCCTAACAGTTCTAAGTGAAACTCCTAGCTGAACACACCTCCCTGAAGAAAATGTGCAAAGTGGGTCGAAACGTTGGCTTTTAATAAAATAGTTTTACCGCTATTTACCCTATTTATGACCCCGAAACTTTTTTATTTTTTTTTTTATATTTTGTATTTAGAATCCAATTTTAAACCGATATTCTTTTACACTATATCTTTGCATTTGCAATATATTCAAAGGGTACTTACTTTTTGGCTAATGAACATTTTGGCTAATGAAATAATAAAACAGAAAATATTTTGTCACAAAGAAAACACTGAGGTCTGTAATAGAATTAATATCTCACTAGAATACACGATTAATAAAAGAATTCTCCATATTTTAACTAAATTAGAAAATAATTTTAAAGCGGATATGAGGGAAAAAGCTAGAATGTCTTAGATTTCATGACCTTTATAAGGATATAAATAGTAATAATGGAATAATGAAACTTTCTTTATTTTTCATTTTTAAACGTAACATAAGAGAAAAAGTCTTCGGTCGATTATTCAAAGCTGTTATAAAGTGTTATCAATATTGAAAAAATAATCCATTGGCGTTTTATTAATTTTTTTAATCCTGCATACTCAATTATATTGTCGAATTCACGAAATGAGACATCGGCTTGTTTTGCATTTTTGTTTTTATCGGTTTGGTGCAATCGATTCTTAATTTAGTGCTCCTTCAGAATGGAGGACTACAGGTAAATCAAAGAATAACATTGTGTAAAAATTGTGTTTACATTGATTTTACCCCCTATCTAGTCATTTTCGTCAAACGGAGTTTATTAAGCGTTAGTAGGTTATTATATGAGCGTTTCAGTTGACAGAATGACTAACTCCAATATCAACATTTTTGAGTAAAGTCATTTTAGTGATATTTTTAGTGAAATTTATATCTAAATTTTTATTTTTATTTTTTTTACTTTTTTTGGTTAGGCCGTTGTAGCTTCGTACAAACCCGAATCCGAAGCCACAACCGAATGTGAATAGAGTCTACATGAATATCAGTTAAAGGCAAAAGACCACATGTAAGGCCAACAAAAAGCAGGTGGATAGGTAGAATCAACAAAGATGCAATTGAGCAGCGTGCAGATAAATGGAAAGAAATAGCTCAAGACAGGCAGAGATGGAGCAGCCTTATTAAGGCGGCAAAAGATTTAAAAAGTCCGTAATGATAACAGAAAAAAAAATAATAATCTACTTTTCATTCAATATCTAATGAATAAATTAATTAAGTTCACTGGACAAAATCAGCAGAACAATAATTATGGACTCATAGAAAACGCTAGGCTTCTAGTCAATTTATTATTAACGATATATCAATATATTTTGGGGGAGGGAGGAATAAATAAACTTGATTTTTTTATTTCCTCTGAAATTCTTTTTCAACTATTTCGGATACACGTAATGATATCAAACAAATAGTTTATATTTTGTTCTTCTTGCAAACCTAATAAAAAATTCAGAATTTTGGAATTCAGAGTGGAACCGATAAATGTTTGACTTTTTTTTTAAATTTATTTATTCAGAAATATTACAATCTGTCACAATTAAGGACAGTTATAATAGTGTTCAGAGAGCACA